GGCAGGAGACTCGCTTGAGCCCAGGAGTTGGAGGATGCTGTGAGCTGTGATGCCACAGCACTCTACCCAGGGGGACAGCTTGAGGTTCTGTCTCAAAAAAAGACAGCATGCTTCACATTATATTCACTATATACTTTTTAATGACTTTTGAAGCTTTAAAAAAGCATAGAGTGGGCGGTGCCTGTGGCTCATTGAGTAGGGTGCAGGCCCCATGTACCAAGGGTGGTGGGTTCAAACCCGGCCCCGGCCAAACTGCAACAAAAAAATAGCCAGGCGTTGTGGTGGGCACGTGTAGTCCCAGCTACTCCGGAGGCTGAGGCAAGAGAATCATCTAAGCCCAAGAGCTGGAGGTTGCTGTGAGCTGTAACGCCACAGCACACTCTTGAGGGTGACAAAGTAAGACTGTCTCAAAAAAAAAAAAAAAAGCAGAGTATATTTTTATAAAACCTGATGGGAGAACTTTATCATATGCCCTATTAAGCTGTTGTACTTTCCGTATGAATTTGCTACCTATTTGAAAAATAAGCTAAAATCCCTGTTTTATTCCTTATAAAAGTGACTCACATGTGAACTTGAGGATGTCATAGAAATATGAAAAACACATTTATGAGCTGGGAGTAGAGAAGGCCTTTCTAAATGGGTTATGAGAAACAAGTGACAAACATAAATGAATCTATCCACTAAAAATAGAAAATCTCTGTATGGCAGAGACATGATGAATCAAGATGATTCAAGCTATGGTAATTAATAATCTCTAACACCCAAGGAGCTCCCACCAAGTACAAAGTCATGCAGTCACTACAGAAAGGACAAGTTCCAGACCCTATCTGGGCATCGTGGCATATGTCTGTAGTCCCAGCTACTCAGGAGGCTGAAGCAGGAGGATTACTTGAGGCTAGGAGTTCAAGGTTGCAAGTGAGCTACAAGCAATAAAATACCCTATCTCAAACAAAACTAACAAGATTTCACTATTCAGTTGACAAGGATTAAACAGAGGCAGCAGGGTGAAGAGAAGTTCACTGTTGGTGGGAACAGTATTATGACTGCCCTAAAAGTATAGCCCAGCTACATGCTTTGAGTTTAAAACAATGAGACATTGATACTCACTGACCCAGGCATCCCTCTTCCAGACATTTCCCTGAAGGAGACAAGGCAAGAGAATGTACAAGGAGTTTATGACAGCAGGAAAAGGGAAATACCTGCCAGGCATGGTGGCTCATGCCTGAATCCCAGCACTTTCAGAGGCTGAGGTGGGTGGACTGCACCAAGTTCAGGAGTTCAAGACTAGCCTAAACAAGAGAGAGAATCTCTAAAAAACAGCTTGGTATTGTGCTGGGAATCTGTAGTCCCAGCTACTTCAGAGGCTGAAGCAAGAGAATCACTTAAGCCCAGGAGTTTGAGGTTGCTGTGAGCTGTGACACTACAGCACTCTACCCAGAGCCACAAAGTGAGTTTCAAAAATAAGAGGGAAACACCTGATGACTGAGGAATTTAGTGAAGTAGGTGTTTCAACTACATCGAGTCCTATGGTCTTACAACTAAAATATCTGTGACTTGTGGAGTGAAATTTCAGCTGATATGCAAGCCAAGAGGGCCACTTACGAAGGCAGACACAGGTGGTGGGGCAGGTGGTAACCCAGCATCCTAGTGGGCCCCTGACACTTTTTCATGTGCTTCTGTTTGGCTGGCATTTTATAATGAGCCTTTTCCCCAAAAAGAGAAAAGGTGCATTCATCTCAGGGTTGAATTTTACTGAGAGTATAGAAAGCCCAGCTAACAGTCTTAAGCAAATAAAGGGTTTTGTCTAAGGGTGTGGGAGGCCAGGGCTCTGAGGGCAGCTCAGTGGTGACTCCTTTCTGGTTCTACCATTTACTGCATGGGGCTTTGCATCCCATGCAGAATGGCTGCTACAGCACCAACCATCACAGCCCAACACTGGGCCAAGACTGTTCCTTTAAATGGCTTTCCTGGAAGCCATATTAACAAGTTACATTTGCATCTCACTGGGCTAGAACTGAGTCACACATGTTGACACTCCAGCCCCAAACATACAGACCCAGACCCCAGCAAGGACAAAGTCATGCAGTCACCACAGAGAGAAGGGACAAGTTCTAGACCCTATCTGGGCATGGTGGTATATGTCTGTAGTCCCAGCTACTCAGGAGGCTGGGGTAGAAGGATTACTTGAGGCCAAGAGTTCAAGGCTGCAGTCCCCTTCAGCACAGAGGAGCCTATTCTTATCCAGCCTCAGTGAGAGACCTACATAAATCACAAGTCACCACCCAGGGTGGTTTATAGGAGAGATTTATTTGAAGAAATATTACAACATATAAAAACTACATAAAGTCTTAATTTCCACTCATACAGTGGTAGATTTGATATAATGGCATAAAAAAAATTTTAAAATCCAGAACACACAAGGCACGGCACAATTTGATCACTAAGTCATTAGTTGATAAGCAAACCTCACGGAATAGCTGCGTGTCAGCCAAGGCCACAAACACCATGTACAACACGTTTGAAATGACAGATTTCAACAAGTTAAAAATATAACATCAGTGCATAAATTCCTGGTGCCAGAAACAAGGTGAGGGAGGGCAAACTAGTCCTTAGCAGCTTTCTCCTCCTTTACTTTAGCTGAAGGGAAACAAAAGGAAAAGTCACTCTTGGGAACATATACCGCAACAGGCAAGCACAACAGACATGTTCAATCCAGAAACATGGTAATGCCCAGTCACCCGTGATAGCAGCTGACCTAAGTGGACAGCATTTGTGGAGACTGAGCACGCCTCAAATGATCTGTAGAGGCTACTACACCCAGTCTAAGGCAGGTGCCTGCTAAGCCAAACTCACTTAGCAGGAGCAAGGAAAATGACCCACTTAACTGCATGCCAGGCCCCTGGTTTAAGCACTTTAAAACACGTGCAATTTAGTTGCCCCTTGAGAAAAATGGGGCCACTGAGGTTGGAAGGGTATGTGACTCGACCAAGCCCCAGAGTCTAGAGCATCCCAGCATCCCAGCTCTTCCAGAGGAAGGTCAGCCCAGGAAAACGACCACCTTCCCCACTATACCTGAGGTACTCTCTCGAGCTTTGGCCAACATGCAGAGTTTGATCTCCAAGCCAATGGCTTTAGCCAGGGGAGGCGGCACGGCATTGCCCACCTGCAGAAGGGGAGGAGGGCACATGCTGTGGCACAGCCAGCCAGATGCCCAGGGGCCTCTGCTCAGGACAAGAATGACAAGGGTGCCAGGCCCCAGGGGAGGAATCTTGGGCTTTTGCTCACATGGTTCCCCAGAGCACATATCATGAGGCCCACAGACCCTCCCACTCCATATCCTTGAGTCATTAACAGAGAAGTGGGTCTTTAGAGAATTCCAGAAAAAATTTTTATTTGTTTTGAGACAGAGTCTCACTTTGTCGCCCTTGATAGAGTGCCATGGCATCATAGCTCACAGCAACCTCCAACTCTTAGGCTTAAGTGATTCTCTTGCCTCAGCCTCCCACATAGCTGGAACTATAGGTGCCCACCACAATGCCCAGCTATTTCTGGAGACGAGGTCTTGCTCTTGCTCAGGCTGGTCTCAAACTCATAAGCTCAAGTGATCTACCCGCCTCAGCCTTGAGGAGTGCTAGGATTACAGATGTTAGCCACTACACCCAGCCAGAAAAAATTTCAAACAAAAGACATGGAAGCATCAAAACATGCTTCACTGCTAACTAAGAATGGCTCCTTCTGGAGAACAAGACTCAGGGGAAGGGATGAAACAGGAAGTTTTTACTAAAACCCCTAGGCCCTGCAGTGGGTAAGACCAGTGTGTTTGTTATGTCAATGGAAATAAGCTTAAGATTAAGTTGGCTTGGCACCTGTAGCACAGTGGTTACGGCACCA